TAAACGGGTGTGTTGGTTAAAAAATGAAGTAGCATACAGTAAAGAGAACCATTACAAAATAAGTTACAACAACACTAAATACGAGCATATAGTTTGGGTCCTTTTCCAAACTTAAATGGACGTAATTTTCGTTTCCAAATAACGTTTCATTTCTTACAACTCCTGAACATTTTGCAGCGTAAGCGGTACTCACAAGCCATCGTCATCATCATCCAGTTCAAGAAATACGTCGGCCATCCTAGCCTTGTCTTTCTCCATACGAATGACAGCTTTTTGTTCTGAAATAAAAGCCAAATTTACATTTGTCTCGTCTGTGATTCTGTTTGCCACAATTTAGATGTTGTGAGGAAGAACAGATTGAACATTGAAAGAAAGAATATGCTTTACAGACACCAGGTGGTGTTAATCTTAATTTACCTTCCCAGGCCTTCAGATGGCGCTCTTTAGCTTCTTTCTCTGGTTGCTCTGCAGTCTCCTTAACTGTTCTCAGTGCTTCAACCTTTGCTTCCAGATCTTTCTTACTGTTCTGGACATCTCCTAGTTTACTCTGTTGAACCGAAATGAAATTGCCAATTCAGCCCAAATAAAATCCGAATCAAGAATTGTACTGTACAGCTAAAAATAATCACTTTACCTAAAAATATATATTTTAAGGATACACTTCTAAACTAGGCCTGGGTTCATCACTTTACGAGCAGAACTTGTAAAAACAAAAACAACAACAAAAAGAAAAGACTAGGAATGAAAACTAAGGACATATCAACTCTTTCCCAAACTCCATATTAATCCTGTATTCTATTGTTTGCACAAATGTTGCATGGATTACATAAAAACAATCAATAAAATTATTTAACAGAATATACAATATTAATCCTGCACAGACTAAATTCAGAGCTCGTTTTTCTCTCCAAACCTTCTTGTCCTCAAGCCCCTGTTTGGCCTCATGGATAAGCTGTTTTTTAAACATAAAGCCTTCTTTTGCGATTTCTGCCATCTTCTGTAGTTCTTCCTTCTCTTTGCGACCCAACTCCCTGAAAAACACACAAGTAACGTCAAGACATTTTCATTTGGCAGTTCTAAGCAACTTATTGTAACCATAGAAAATACACACCTGCAGGTGTTTTGACAGTCAACACCACTGTTGTACTCATCAGTAGTGTCACAGCAGTCTAAAGAGAAAATGTAAGGGTTAAGAAGCTATTAAATATTTTTTCTAAAGGTGTATTTGAAACTGGACAAAATGCATACCACATATTCCATCATTGACGCGGGAGGAAGGGATGAAGCCTGGTCTAAAACCCGCATTGGTGCAGTGAAAGTTGCCATTGGGGCAAGCAGCAGTACCTGGGAGGGAGAAACACCTTGAGTCACAATCATTGTACTTTCAAATCACAACTGGATAAATCTCCAGGATGGAGGATTTACACACCTGGCTCATCAGAACCATCCAGACAGTCACAGTAGTCGTCATTTACTCTGTCAAAGGGAATAGTACGGGATCCATCCAGACACGTAAAAGGTTTGTCCTCTTCATAAAACTGGCGTTCTGTTATTCATTGAAACAGACAGCAAAGAGCTTAGACCTCCCCCAAATCAAAATGAAATGATTGAATTACTATTTAATCCATCACAAGTCAGGTTAAGAATGCTTACTTGACAAGGGGACACCACGGGGACGTTGAACCTCAGCAGACATGGCTCCGCCGATCAGAACCAGCAGCACGAAGTGACCGAACATTACCATGGTCAACCTCTAGATTAATGATCCAACAGTGCCTATAGAAACACACATACACACAATTTGCACAATAGTAAAATTTGCAGCTTTAACTTCTGATGAGTAAAACCATGTATTGGCAGAAGCTAGAGGTTCGTAGCTACTAGCTTGTACAGATAAAACAACGCTAACTAGCAAATTGTGCTAATGGCTTTGCCAAACGGCGAACAATAAATAGCAAATTCAAAATAAATCTGCGCAGTGACCATTATATAAACTTAAATACCTGAAGTGTGAACAAGTTACCAAAACAGAAAGGAAGAAAATGTATTTTTATCGGTGCCAATGCCTAATCATTATCTGGTGGAATAACCTACTTCCGTATAGAGGTACCCACCCTTCTTTTCGCCTTCTGTCGTTTTGCAATCTGATTGGACAAGAGATTCTCTTCTTCTTTTGTGATTTGGTGTAGAGAAGGAAATCCGTGACACGCGAGGACGACAGTCTTCTTCTTTCGATTGGCGGACAGCAAGAGGTCGACATTTCATTGTAGCGAAAATTCTAAATTCTGTCTATCAACAATGGGACACAGTTATACAATTAATTAAAGATTCTTAAGACTTCAAAAATATGTCAGTGCATTGCACATGATCATTGTCATATCATTGCCATTGAAGTAGACGTTCCAGTTTCCTGTTGTGATTGGCGGAGAGCTGGAGAAACGTCACACTTGTCTTGAGGAGAAGCTGTGCAGCCATCTCATGCCAGCTCAGTTTTTTTTACTGTTTTTAACACAGTAAAAACCTTACATAGAAGGTTAAAGCTGAGAAGCCAAACATATCAATTTTAAATGTAAACTGTAAAGCAATTTTAAATATCGGCTACATTTTCTGAATGGTTTTGAGCTTAAGTTTCCTCTGAACTTATTTCTAGATTTAGTTTTATACTTTCATGTACATCCTTTTTTTTTACTTCATTTTATTTATTTAATTTATGTTCTATTCAGGGGTACATTACTCACAATGTCACACAAATGTATTACTAAGAGGTATATTTATATTTACTAATATTTAACACTGGATGGGAATAACTTCTCAACAAATAAGCAAATTTGTTCTGGGGAAGTATATTCTAATGTATTTCCTTAAATTTTCCTTCTCCTAGTAATAAACAATTGTACTACTTCTGCCAATAGATGTAAATCATCTCTATGGACTAATGATTTACAACAAACAACTTGTTGTCCTTGTATATAATTAAACTTTTACATAGACATCTAAAGCAGTCAGTCTGAAAGATGATGTATATCTAAAAGCATATTGCATTGTGAAATGCAACACACTGTTGAGATCATATTCATAGTTTTAAGGCCTACAAAATAGCTCTTAGAAAAAGTAGTTTTGTATTTGGTTCTACAGAACTCTGAAGGCCTTTTATGTCTGTTATGTTCTTTTTTATAATATTTAATCAGTTTTGAAACCAACTTTCTAACACTTTGACATCGACCAGTTACCGGTACTCCTTGATACCAGTAACAGGCCCATCATGCGTAACAATGTAAGGGAGTTAAAGAATAAATTAATTGATGTCAAAGGAGAATGTGAGTACTATATTTGTTTCAATATAAAAATCTTGCTTTATTTGTATTTTAACACACTTTACGGTACCGAACAGTGAAATAAAAGAAAAATATACTGATATACTATTATACTATTTTATATATATAGATGTCGCTTATTAAATGCATTTATTCACAAAAATGACACCTCGGCTCTGTCAGGAGGAAAAAACTTTCATAAAAATAATATAATAAAAAATAACTTGGACACATTTTACACATTACAGCAAGTTCATTTACAAATATTACAATCATTTAATGTATTTTTTTTTTCCTATCACCCTTTAAACAAGCTCTGTTACTAATGACAAACACGTGAATTAAAGCCCAGAGGATTTCTCTCAAAGGGAGTCAGTCTGTGATAACATTACCTGACAGCAACACCAATGGGAACCAGATAAATAGGCCACCATGGGACGGACATTTAGGCCATCAGGCTAGATAGTGCTTAAAGTTACTAAGAAACAAAGGGAGTGTAAGTGCTGGAAATGACCAAGTCAAATAAGGACACATATTGTGACTTTCAGTAAAAAAAAACAAACAAAAAAAACACAATAGTAATTATAATAATAATAATAATAATAATAATAATAATAATAATCTCATAGACTCTTTCAAGGGGACGTCTAATTTATTTTACAGTGCATCTCAACCGCTGGATATTGTGGGTTTGGGACTTTTGCCCAGATGGATACACAGACTGCACACTACCTGAACCCAACTGTTTTACCTTGAAACCTGATGAAATAAAGTGCTGGTACAAATTTATTTGATTCGAACAATAAGTGTGCACTATTAAAAGTTATGACAAAATGTTACCCACATGTGAGGAAATATAGTATTCGAGAATGACAAGGTGACGGGGTGGCTTGTGGTGTCTCGGTGGTTATTTGTCAATCATTATAATTCGGATAAAATTTTATTTTACAGTACATTATTACATTATATACAAGAGTGGTAATGATTATAGCTATATATCATCAGCATGTGATTCATTTTCCAGACCATCCACCTGAATGATATAAAAATAAACTGTACACAAGCTGTTAAAAGAAAACACTTTCCCATGTTTTCTTTTCATCATTTAAAAAGAATGGCAGCAATCAATCAATTGAATAATCTCCTTAAGAAACAATTGCTACAGTATCGTGTTTGTATGGCAATTAAATATTACTGTTTTTATAGCTTATGACAGAACAAGAAGCCACAAAAACAAAGGAATATGTTTAAAGTAAAAGGCCAGTGCATATGGGATAGTAGATATTTTTTTTATATTTAAGTAACTGTGATAGTAATCCTGAATTCCCATTTTCACTACATGAAAAGCCTGCATGGTAGCCTCACAGCTCAACCAAATACACAGGCTTCTGTTGCACCAATCTGTGGCAACTTCACATGAGCTCAGTTACTGACCTGCAGAAACTCGCCCGTACCTTTAACTTAATGTTCGATTTACCCTGTGAGAAAACAAACGCTCAAACAACCTGGCACAGTTTGGCTGTTACGATCAGATCCTGGACACTTGAGGCGAAGAATGAGCGGACGACAACACGAGCCACGACATCTTTTAACGTCTTGCGGTATTTCACTCTTACCGTCTCACTCATAATCTCGTAATCTCATCACAAATGTCTCCAGGAAGCTATAGGATGCAATCTTATTTTCTTTGTTTGTTAAAAAAAAAACAAAACAAAAAACAGCACATTCTTTTAGTTGATCCAAGCACAGCCACGACAAAAATAACTGGCAGCAGTGTTTCCCACTTCCCCCTCCAAAATGCAAAATACATTGTTTCACACCAGCACAGAAATAAGTTTACAGATGTGTTATAAATATACTAGGATATCTGTATTATGTCTTTAAATCTACATACTTATAGGTATGTATCCTGCATCTGACGTTAAGGCAAAAAACCATCAAACATAGAAAGGATGATTCGGGACTGCCAGACCTTTTCCCTGACATTCTGCCTCCCTGATTTCCTTCATTTCAACTCACCCACTGACGCTTGTCTATTGTCTTCCTTAACTTTGGTGAGAATCGCTATGTATGAGGAGACAAAAAAAAAATACAAAAGAATGAAGACAGCAAATGAACTTTTGTTCTGCTGATGAAACTTTCTCTCCCTTTATAACATATTCAGTAAAATCTCAAATATAAAATAGGCAAAAATGTATATGCTTCAAAGCATCACATGGCTTATTCTCTGAAAGTTTAGAAAATAATAATAATAATAATAATAAAATCAGTCTAATAGGAAATAAATATATAAGCTGGAAAGAGTCCAGTGGTGGTAGTGGTGGGTGTTAGTGATTGCTCTGCATCTAAAGTTCTGAGTTGTCATAACACCCGAAGAGCAACTAAAGGAAGACTTACAGCTGAAGAAAACATGTCACCACAGAAACTTGTACGTGTGAGTCACACACCACAACACCATGAACAGTAAAGAGAGATCTTGAACAAGAGACAATCAAAAATGATTCCAAAAATCAGACTCTCCTGTTCCACAATGCATTGCTTCACCACAGCCTCAGTGAGGAAGCTGATGTTTCACAAAGGCACAGAGCCATCTTACACCAGTAGCACTCTCCTTGTAAAGGGAAAAAGGATACGGGGCCTCTCCGGGCCCCCTTCAACGCAGCATCTTCCTTTTCTTCGCTTCCACGTTACGCTCTTCTCTTTCTCCAACTCTGCGGACTTTTTTTTTTTAAGCTTTATTTCCGACAGAAATGGAAAAAAAAGTCACCGAAGCTTCTCTGAAGAGAGCAGTTTCTATTGAGATTCTAACAGACATGAATTACTAATACTGACTTAGACACGAGTTAATAAACCAATAAGGAATGGCTTTTTCCAAAGAGATTCATCACTGATCAATGTTCCTTGTGTAAATGCACGCATACAAACATACAGTCGAGTGTACGTAGGTGCCTGTGTAAGTCTATGTGTGTTTTTTTTTTTTTTAAATCAATAGGTGTACATACGAAATGCAATGATACTGCATGGCTTGCTGCATGCATGTATGCACATTGCATTGTTGTACTCTACACGACTTACTTTTGATTGTGTTTTATTTTTTGTGTGGATGTTTTTGTGTGATTTCATGTGTGTTTATTTATGTGCATTCCAGTCACCAGAGTGCTACACTGTCTTCCTTTGCCCATCAATAATGGCCTTCTAGATTCCCATTAGTCTTAAGTTCCTAGTGAAATTAGTCCTAGAACTTATCACTCCAAATCTACAGTTGCTGTGTAATTAGCTTCTCTTTGAACGATTTTGAATGTATTCCCTTTTTGAAAAATATACTTAAAGGTCTGTATTGTCATTGCAGTCATATTTGTTCTTTGTTTGTCCATTTAAAGAATCAACAACATAATGTGTGCAAGATAGGAGGGAGATACAGGAGCAGACCTCATGTATCTTCAGCTTGCGACGAAGAATCTTCCTCTTCTTCTACAGGACTTGTGTCATAAAGTCTTTCCTTTTGTGGCTCCTCACCTAACCGAGGTTTCAGCTCTTCCTCTCCTTCCTCTTCCTCCATTGCCACTTCGTCCTCTTCCTCTATTATGTCCTCATTCTTCTCCTCTGACATCAGATCTTCCTTGTCCTCATTGTCATCGTCCTTGTCTATGTCACTGCAGTCTTCTGCCACGTGGTTTGGTGTGGTTTTGTCGTCCCCGTGTCCCTGCTCATTCTGAGAGCTCTCTTCCAGGGTGAGCTCAAACTGAAACTTGTCGATGCATTTGTTTAGCTCCTTTTCCTGACACACAGGAGGCGGCGATGGGCTTTGCGGGATTGTGCTCTGGTACCAGTCCCTGTTGTCCTCAAGGGTGTCCAAGATCTCCTGGGCGTCGGGATGCACAAGGTCTCCCCACGTCTCCCATAGCGGATGAACAATGTAGTCAATGAAGCCCACCTACATCCAGAAGAAAAGAAAAGAAAAAAAAAAAAAACAATATAACACTGACTCGACTCAACCTTACTCCCAGCAAATTGGCATTAAAAATGTAGGCGGGCGACTGCTGCGATCAGAGCTAATAGATCAGCCTCTGCTCTGTGGTTATCATCCCACCTGCAGCATTAACAGCAATCCAGCTGTTCGCCATCCATGCAAGTGTGTTCCACTGCTAATCATTTACCTGACTTTTTTCCACAGATGCGGTGTGTTTGTCGCACATGGGACTGATCTCCATGCCTCGCTCCCTTTCCTTGTCTCCCTGCCTGAAGAACTCCTCCATGATTCTCTCCGTCCATTGCCGATACACATGCAGAGGCTTCGTGGGATTGCTCAGGTCTGCACAGTGCACCATGTTCCTCAGTACCTGGGTAAAAGTCGCACACACACATCACTCAGTCTGCAAACTGACATCTCTGTGATTTTATATTTTATGATTACAATTACTTTGTGTGGCAGCTGCTCACTTCCACACAATTTTCTAACGCTTATCTTCACTGACAATGGCGAGATGAACCAATCAACTTGATCCTTCACAGCAATACTGAAAGCCAGATGCATAAAACACACATTGACATAAAAAAGTACCTGTATTCTGTCGGTGTAGTGGTCGAGCATCAGAACTCCAGAACTCGTCACTTTCTTGGTTTCCACCATCGTCTTGAGGTCTGCCAGCAAACTCATGTGTTTGGACATGTCTGTAGCCAAAACCTGGTAACAAACGGTATGTATTACGGAAGTGTGGGGGAAAAAATGCTAAAGACTAATATGACAACTGAGAAGAGTTTTCTTTGTGGTAGTTTATCAGATATCTACCATATCAATCACAAGTTTCCTCAGGCTCTGTCTTTGCCTTTTGGTGAGGTTCTGGAAGATGTCACAGTTCTCCTCATGGAGCAGCTTAAACCCCACAGCCAGGTGGTGGTTCTCCAAAACGGACTCGTCGTTATACATCAGGGCCAGTTCTGAGTCTGAGGAGGCAACAAATATAGTGAATGGACGTGTTGGTTCAACAGTTAAAGACACCCCTGTTTCAAAAATGATATAAATATTTATTCTAGAATCCTAAGAATTAAGGTATTATTAATATTAATGAAACAGCTTCCAATAAGTGAAATAACAACAAAAGCCACAGTAAGTGCAGAGCTTTGGTTGCTTAGTTTATGGTTTAATAGCAATAAAATTGCCTGTAAAATAAATTATGAATGTTATATATATATATATATATATATATATGTATATATATATATATATACATATATATATATATATATATATATATATTTTTTTTTTTTTAATACTTGATATATATTTCTCTTTATTGCTCTCATTCTGACTCACTTGTGTTTATGAGGAATTGGTTGGACACTCCTGGATGGTCTACATCATGAATGGCGGCAGCAAATAAAGCTGCTAATATCTCCAGGTCTGTGAATACGGCCTGTCAGGGAGAAATAACAAGAGGAACAACGGTCACTTCAGTCAAGTGGCATGTTTATGTTGGGTAGGATGGATGTTCTAACTGTGATCCTCACATCTAGAGCTGGTGTGGATAGCAGTACATGGGTGGACTGGGTGACATCAGCAGCATGAAGGCTGTTGTGGTAGGCGACATTGGCGTGATAGTGGTCCTCCAGGGTCATCACGTAAGTGACAAAAGTATCCACAGGGATCCGAAAAGTTTTTAACAGATCTCTTTCCTGCAGCAGAGAGAGACAATAAGGGGCATATTAACAGTATAAATCCTAAAATGGGAAAAGATGACAAAGTTAAGTTTTGGTCTCATCTGTCCAGATAAACTCCCTCCATATGTTTACTGGGCCTCCAATACGGCTCGTGGCAAACTGCAAGCATGACTTCTCTTGGCGATTAGTTCCACTAGGTGATTTTTTAACTCAACAAGACATTTTTCCCATTTTATGGGTGAAAAAGTCTGCCAACAGTGCAATTACTTTTTCATTAATATCAAGTACAGTTTTTTGTAAGTTAGTTGAGACTTATTTTAAGTGTATTAAAATAGTTGCACTCGAAACTAGACAAAAAATACTTGGTAAGATTTTGTGTCTTTGCACTGCACTTTTTATGGTGCATAAGTGTGCTAACATTTGCTAACATTCTGCTGCTGATACTGAAATTTAATAAGGAATATCCCATTCAATTCGATTAAATTCTATTATGGTTTGTCATACAGTATATAAAGACAACGAAGTACAATGTGAAATCTGGAAATGTTCAAATGGCATGAATACTTTATCAAGGCAGTGTTGGTGCCAAAGTCTGAAGAAAAATAGTTTCTCATATAGCAGTTTATTTATTTATTTATGTCGCCTACAGTCACTAGTTGACTTAGGCACCTAACCCAACAGTAAGAATAAGCAAAATAAAGCCACAAAACAAATAAAAGTGAAGCTTAGTTTAACATAAAAATAAAAAAATATATATTAATTTTGGTGACTAATTCATTGTTTAGGTTTGTTTGCCATTTTCTTCTCACCTGGAAGATGGCAAACATGATGCAGCTTAGGGGTCGATTATTGGAGAACTCTGCCACACGAAAGATATTAAGGCCCCACTTGTTCAAGTCATCCAGTTCCTGACGGCACAACAGACAGCTTTAAAAATCACACAGACATCAATTCTGTGTTAATCAATAACAAAAATACTATGTGTTTCATAGAATAAATCATAACTGCTGGATAGCATGGTATTTCTGTAAATATGATGAGAGATTTGTTTGCTTAGAAACTGATTTCTGCTTTTGTGCCATCTCCAGCAGGTCTGATTTCTTGTGTTGCCCGTCAGTTCTTTTACCCTGGCTAAAGCTTCCTCGTGCTCCGTCTTCACGCCAAACCGAGGCAAGGTGGAGTTGGAAAGGCTGGAACTGTGCGTGAGCTTCTTCACACCGCTGATGTGACACATGGGCTTCTCTCTTTCCCTCAGAGTCGGAGATGGGATTTCCACTTCGTTTTGCTTATCTGAAAAAAAAACAAACAAAAAAAAAAAAAAAACACATCACGAGACAAAGTTTCACCTGACAACCCCGGCTTTATTAAGTTTAATAACAAGGAGATGTCGTGTTTGTTGTACCTAAAAAGGTGGTGGAGATGTATTCTGACACTTGGTTCCCTGAGCGACTCATCTCTGACAAATGGGACAGCTCCCTGTTCAACATCCTCTTGAACTGAGGGGAGAATAAGTTTATAGATTTAGTACAAACACGAGTTTCTGGTGATGAAGATGGCTGCACACGTTAACGCTGCGTTTTAGATTGAATCTGCAGAAATACGCCCGAAGAAATGCTCCAATACAAGTAAAATTATCACACTGATGTATTATGAGGCGAGAAAATCCATTATGAATCATCCGTCCTCCTTTCTCTCAGTTGAGAACAGGCTGTTCAACGCACCAGCTTGAGTGATGTGTTGCAGTTATGAGCCATTTTTATACATATTGTTCTCTGTGCATCTGCAGTGTCAGACACAGTCTGCGGGTCCCAGACACAAATGTGAGCACACGCAGAGAAGCAAACGCTCTTCCTGAACGTCCGTCCCGATTTTACGTAATGCTTTATTTCTGGACACAAACACAATTCGCCCAACGAGAGGTGTAATGGCTCCGGATCAAGCGAGTCTTGAGAGGGCATGATGCGATTCGGACAGACCCCTCAGTCTGCGTCCTACTGACTGATCTTTCACACATAACAATCTCCATGGCAACCAGAGCAGTTGCCTTAGCAACTGCCTCCTCACAGTCAGTCCTTCAGCTTGATGTGAGAGCGGTGGCTGTTTGGGTGACAATCTGAGGGAGTCGGCAGGTGTCTCTGACCTTTACCAAGGTCAACTCTCTCTCCTCTTCGTCTCCTTCTATCCAGATCTCCCTGCTGTCCATTTGCATTCCTGCCTACCTTCTAAGAAAACTAAAGCTCTGTTCTTGCTCTCCAACCTTTAAATGTTTCCCCCTGTCTCTCAAGTTCATCTTTGCCTTGCTGGCATTCTGAAAACATGTTTCAACCCTTTCCTTTTTTCTTCACACTTCCTCACTTGTTCTATACAGTCTGCAGCTCATCACAAGCAAATAGGCAGTATAACAACAAGCCCTGCTAGCAGTAAGGCAGAATCAGTCCTCGGTTCCTTGGAAAGCTGTAGCCCGGTGGCACACTTAGGCAACAGGCTCAGCCCAAGCCTCCCCACCCACCACCTACCCTTTCAGTCTCCCCATTCTTTCCTTCCCTAATGCTGTAATGCTGAGTCACCACTGCCAGTCGACACTTCTACCGTGCCAGTCCAAGTGCCAGGACAAATAACACTTCCTCTGACACTGACTAATGAGGCAAACATGCAAATAGTGTTCAGATATAACTGTGGGCAGACACACATGTACACCTGCATATGTGAAGGGCTACCCTCTCTTACAGTCACAACGTGTGCAGAGTGGGGCTCTGAGCTAGGACCTGTTAACCGAAATTCAAATAAAACACAAAGTAGTAAAAGGGAATCCTTTTAAGCTAAATCACAAAGATATTCTGTGAGCAGCACTAGGACAGGATACTACACCAGATCAAAATCTGACATGATCAAAGTCAATAACTTGTTACATTTGTTTGAAAAAAAAAACTTCAGACAAGAAATGTGACCGTTTTTGAGAAAAAAAGCTCTTTCACATTTGTGTTGACAGCAACCTCACACAACCAGGAGGGAGTGAGATGGATGCAAGAAGGAAAGGAAATGTGTCGAATAGAATTTGTACATTTGTGATAAAGCTGAAATAATTATATATCATAACATACAAGCTTAATTTTTAAGTTGTTTATTTCTTCTCTTAGTAGACGGAGCCTTAAACGTGGTGTAGAGGTACAAAGACAAACTGGATTATGTTTTTACACCAGTTGTGTAGAAACAATGAAAAAGATATTCCATCTCATCCTCTGTGGATTCAAGTATGTGTTATGTACAGAAATATGCAAATATATATGTTTACGGTTTTTACAGTGTCACTACCAGGCCTTTAAAAGTTCCCCAAATGAATGAAGTGTTAAGAAATCCGTGTTTGTTGATTTTCTTTCTTGTTACATAAAACTGCTAATTGCACTGTTGAGTCAAGCAAACATGCTGGAATAAAGTTAGTTAAGTACATAACAGTGGAGCATTAGGTGCCCACAGCCTCCACCCAACACTGGAACTCCCAGACTTTGTTTACACTCTGGCTCGTTTATCATTACCCTACCTGGTCCCACCAACCGATGAGCCAGGGCCTTGAGCAGGTCTCGCAGAACAGATCCACCAATGGCGTCCTACGTTCAGCCGTTGTCCCACTTCCCTCCCTCACACCTCCATCAGCTGCACCGAGGTCCAGCTCTGCCCCTGACCTCCCCTGCAGAGGACTGTAGCTGGAGGAACGGGGCAGCCTGTAGCCCCCCGGTACAGGTGAGGGGCACTGAGATGGTGCCGGGTCGATGGCCTCTACCACACCCATGTTGAGAGAACCAGGGGGTTTGGGCCTATGGCACAGGTATGAGGTGTGGTAGTGAATTGGGCCAGGGGCACTGCGGGTGCCCCAGTGGCATGAGGGCGTTGTCAGGGTCCGTGGGGAGAGGCCACAGCCAGTCAAACCGGGACACTCCAGAGTGGCGTCTGCCCCAAAATGGGGAATGGGGAAGGGGTGGAGGGTAGGGGCAGCCTGTGCAGATTTTCTTTGTCTACATCCAGTTCTCCAAAGCAGGGCACCCAGTCAGTCCTGAGTCAGACTCCAGCCTCAGTGTGCTCCAGAGATGAGGATCCCCCTGATGGGCAGAGCAGGAGCCCCCCCTGGATCTGGCTGCAGTGGAGACTACATCTTATCCCATTTCCTGAGCAGGCTGACCCAAATCTACAGTCACCGCAGGATAAAAGGTAGATGAGTGCTGAATGAGTAAGGACAGAGCGAAAGAGAGGGGAATGCGAGACCGTCTGAAGGACACAGAGAGGAGTTGATGGAGAAGATGTGTTTATTTGAGAAGGATGTAAACAAAAAGCAACACCACAAGAGCTGGTTCTCTAGACAAACAGTAATAAAAAGAGTTAGATGGCAGAGGTGAGGAAAACAGGGAGAGTGACGTTTGTGATCTCGAACAGCGGCGGTGAAGGGAACTTGGATGGCAAGTGGAGCATCGAGAAGGAGAGGGATGCAGATGATGGCAAGAGGAAAACAAGAACACAGTGAATGAGACAGAGACAGACTGGAAGAAACAGAGAGGGACGCGAGCAGGCAGGCCTCCAAGCATACGATCCAGTGGAAGAATCCCACCAAAACAGTGGTCTGGAAAAACAAGTCTCCTTTTCCTTGCGTCGCCTGCCCCTCCCAAACGGTACAGATCCAAAGGCCCGGCCCAGTACTACCGGTGCAACAGCCCGTCTGAGTCGCCTCTCTCCAAACCTCAACTGCACACTGCCTGTGCACGGGCAATCGGCTCGCCTCCCGACAGCAGCGCAACCCAGTCTTCTGCTCCGAGTCAGTCCATGCCTCAGCTGCCCCAAAATGCCAGAGGTCTAATCCTGCTGCTTTAGGCTGCCATTCGTTCTCCAGTGCTCTCTGCCTCTTTCGCCATTTCCCTGGATGCTGTAGACAGCACTCGCAAGCTAATCAGGCAGTGGCTGCAGGCGCGTGCATGCGTGTATGCGTGTGTGTGTGTGTTTCTGCAGCTGCCTCCCTGTTGGAGGCTGAGTGCGCATGTGCGACACGACAGCATGTACGTCTGTCAAATATGTGTGTGAGCGAGGGTGTGAGTAAGAGTGAGAGACAGAGAGAGCCAACGTTCATGTGTGCACCTCCATGTTGGCATGGCGTTGAGGATTTGTGCTGCTCCTTTCTGCAAAATCACTGAAATGTTTCCGCAAAGACTGTGTCCCCAGAGGCATTGTACATCCCTGGGCAAATCATATAAGTTACGCCCATCTGTTCTTTTTCGTCTTCGGCTCTTTCATTGCAAGCCGGATTGAAGATGATAAATAAAATCTTTTATTTATTAATGATGACACAGAAGATGAGGACAATTTCTGGGGGGGGGGGCACGGTTTCTGACACTGTCTCTTTAAGAGAGAGCACTGTTAAAGGAGAATTACCTCTCTTGTCATTGGTTCCTGCCTAAACCACGTCTTGTGGTCAGAGCGGGAAGCCAATGAGTAAAAGGGAAGGGCAGACCCTGCTGCCGTTAGATAGCAACCAAGGTTACAGTGGAGACATCAGCATCAGGACCACTTTCCCCCCTCCTTCTCATGTCCTCCTCACCCACAGACCGTCACATCATTTCCCTCTCTCACTCCCTCTATGTCCCTGTGCCCCTGGAAATACAACTGCATGCATCCTTAAGAAGCTGCTCTAAATCCTCACATTCATGTGAGCGTGCAAATTCAAAAATTAACCCTCTGATATCTGGTGCAACATATTTGCATGTCGTGCTTCTTATACAACAAATGTGTAATATTGCAAACCATAAATAAAATGTATAATTTATTGATAAGTCATTGCAGGACTGAAAATAAACTCTGGAAGGATTGTGATTCCTTTGACTCTACATGTTGTTTCATTCTTGCATGATTTTTTTTTTTTAACAGGGGAGAAAATGTTTTTCTAAGCAGTGTTTGCCAAAGTTTTATGTCATAAGCATTTGGAGATTAAGTCCATGTATATGTTGTTACCTATCCGACATCCCAGGTATGTCGGATAAGATATTGATGCTTGTGTGTGTCCCCTTTTACACAAATGGATAACACCCCATTTGGACCATATGTAAAAACCAAGCAATTGTTGGTGGGTATGTTTGTGTGTCTGTACCTTGTTGGAAGCCATCTCACTGACTGAGCGGTGGGTCTGAATGGTCTCCAGCTGGTCCAGACACCAGTCCAGCTCCTCCAGAGTCTCCCGAGCCATCTGCTGGTAAGTCTCCTCTGAGAGAGAAAGGCACACAGACTCTAAGAAATCATTTAAATCAACATATGGAGAAAAAGCATGGAAATAATAGCAAAACTGATAGTTTGATTATTTTTTTTTGTTTGTTTGTTTGTTTTGTTTAATGCTTATAGTCTTTTGGAAATTAGGAGTAGGCCCCTTCTGATTTACTGAGTGGTTTTACAAATCTGTTTTAAATAAATTCATGCAAATATTCTATTGCTCAATGTTAAACATGTTTGTAAATATATTTAATTTTTACTTAAACTTTAAGCTATTAATTTAATAAGCTTATGACATGATTTAAGATGTTATTGAGAAGCTCTTCCTTAACTGCAGTTCTCTGATTTAATATGTCTGACTTTAAATAAGCAAATTGCCCCACGTACAGTTCAGACAATTACACACACTCATCAACCCCGATGATGTCTATGTTTAAATGTCCGTGCCAGCCGACCTGTTCTTGAATAAAAATCAACCAATTCTGCCAAGACAGGTGGTCAAACAATTACTCACAACTGTGCAGAGCTCCTCTAAAATTGGAAGGACATGCTGGTTAAAAGGGCCAGAGCCTGCAAGGTCTCAGGTACAGGGAGGGATAATGAACAAATTGAAGGTAATTTAGAACAATTATAGAAACCCTCTCCATGACCTCGTGGAGTGTCAGAGGAGAGGTCGCAGCAGCCGGCTTCTCTCCGAGCGCTGAGACACGCCACATATTTCAGGAGGTCCTTTGTCTGGACAGCAACAAGGCTATTTCATTCCTCGTCTTAATCTAGATGTATACATAACCTTACGTCATTAGATCTTAGTAAACATGCATACACGTTTACATTGAGAGATTAATTAATTGACTAATTAATTCATAGTAACATGATTTTAAGCTAAATTTTGTTTTCTATTTTAACTTTTTCAAACTTTTGCAAAATTCTTCTCTATGTTCCTTAGATTTTATAGTATATAGTAGTATGGATGTAGCGCGTCTGTTATCATGTTTGTATTTTTTATGATGAACTGCTTTGGAATTTTCATTTGGGGAAACAATACATCAATAATAAATCAATAATACAAAATAAATAAATAAATAAATAAATAAATAAATAAATAAATGGTTAGTATACATAAGGTAACACTTAAAGGTGAAAGTTTTATGGTATATAATTATTTTGGCAGCCATTTGCATGGCTTTAGAATGTACTTTCAATGTAATACAATCTAACACACTGTAAAAACCCATTTTGAAAGAAGAACAGCAAATAGATGACAACAAAAATACTGAAAAACAGCCTTTACCTGTGCATTGTCAGGCTTTTAAACTCATGTCTTTGAAACTGTTTATAAATTTTTGCCATTGTTTATTACAAGAAAGGACTATATGTTTTTAAAAAAGTATTTATTTTTATTTATATTTCTCCAGCCCCTTGTTTTAGCTACAATGTAAAACGCTCAGACTATGGATTTTAGTTGAAATTAATTCAGTTTGACACAGACAAAAAGATAAAAATAAATAAATAGAAGTATATGAAACATTATCCCTCAGCTTGAGTATAACACACATTGTGTTCACAGTGATGGCAGACAAAGTTTGTATGATTTTTTTTTTAATCTTTTGGAGCGTGGAGCCTTAGTGTGTTATTAAAAGAAAACTCCTTGGACTATAAATTTTAATTAGCTGACAGCATACCAGAGAGAGTAGCTTGGGGAACAGTGGGCTGGCTTGTCACTGGTGACCTCCTGTGGACGAACACATAATGATATGAGAGGATGAATAAAACACTGCTGCCCCCTTGTGGCGCAAAAATACACTGCCATCAGCATTACAGTATCAGGCAACAAAAGGCTTTGTTCAGACAGTAGTAGATAGATATATTGATATCTTTAATCTTAAGTTATTTATGACAAATATATATCTTACATCAAAGCTTTTATGTGTATTTTTAAAGCGCAATAAATCCATCCAAAAACAAAGCCTGACTCTCACTTTCATTCTTTTATGACTGCGTTCTTTGAAAGGCCTTCTCACTGTGCAGCACTGTGTAATTATAGATGCTGATGATTCTGTGCTGCATTGCTTTATATATCATATTGACGTGGTGCTAAAAGCCTGCCAGCTCGAGCTCCTTCTGTCTACTGCATTACAAGGGAGAATAATTTTAGCATTATTGACCGTCTCCATCGTCTGGGCAAAGAGTCAGGGACATACATCTGAGGCATAAAGCTCCGTGCACTCAGCCCTCAGTCAGTTGGCTGGAAAAATGCCAAATGATGCCGATTAAATTTTCCCTGAGCATTGTCTGAGACTCATAAACCAGTTAATCACGACGGTTAAAATGTTTTCCACACGGGAGCAAGGAAATGGAGATATTTGCATATGCACAACTACACAATAAGCAGGCAGTTGTGATGAGCACAAGTGTGGGGAAGGGGTGTTCGACAGCATGATACTGACTTGTTAGTGGGTGTTGTGACATTGGCGAGGATGGTGAAGTTGCTTCTTACAGTTCGTAGGCTGGCCAACACCTGGGGGATGGATGGACAGCGTAGGAGGGAAAGAAGGAAGGAGAAGAGGGGAGGGAAGGAGCAGAATTGAGAAGGGGGGGGGGGGGATAAGTTCACTGTTCTGTTTTTTCCACCGCTTTTGCAAAACTGCAGAAAATGAGCAGTATGTAAAATGCATGATAAACAAGTGCAAGCAAACATACCTGAGCAAAAGGGGTGACAATCATGTCTTCGGCGTGCCTGGCAGACAAAAAGGGGAGTAGAGAATGAGATGAATGTGAGTGTTAGTGTTAGTGTTTGTGCAGAGGTACAGCTTATAGAATAGACATATATACATACATATTTTTTTCATTTAACTTTTAATTCAACACAGAGTGAAAGTCATATATCGAAACATTACACAAAATGAAGTGTGGGCCTACTAAAAGTGTCTCAATGAACTGTTAAGTATGTGCAATGAATATTTTGCCAGGGCTCTTTTTGCGTGAATCATTGCATCATCAGTGCAGCGTAGCACGGATGTGGTCAGCCTGTGGCTTTGCTGACGTATTAAGGAAGTCCAAGTGGCACTGATGGTGTCCTTCCTCTCATGTGCATTTTTTGGGCGAGGCGTCTCTTGCCTTCTTCTTGACAAAACTGTATAGATTCTCTGTGTGGTTTAAGTCAGGCCCAAATTGCTGGCCAATCGAGAAGAGCGATATCATGGCAATTGAAGCAGATGTTGGTATTTTTGGTTGTGTGTTGCAGGAAAATGATCTCTTGTCGGCAAATGGATGCATGGGGTGCTCTAAAACGTCCTGGTAGACTGTGCTGATGTTGGATTTGATAAAACATAATGGACCGTCATCATTTTATGGCTCCGTAAATTGAATATGGAAAATTCCCACTGGGCCTTTAACCATTTGGATTCTGTGCCTCTCCACTCCTCATTCAGAATTTTGTTTTCCACAGCCTTGTGAAGCTTTCTCCCTGAAGGAGCTTTGCTTCAACATCCTGGTATCATATCTTTTATTTCCAAACTTTTTCCTTCCACACATCTTTCTTTGGCAAAGCCCATTTGTAGGTAAGTTTCCTTTGGGATGGACAATTGTCCAGTCAGCATCTTTCTCATGATTATATAGTTCATGATATAACATTTCTGTATTAAAACTCACTTTATTTTAGTTGTCATACACAAACTTCTAATTTGCAGAGAAACTGAATTTAGGCTTTTCTCTTTGGCAGTAAGGTCTGCTTGAAACACTTCTTAATTTGAGTTAGTTTTATTTTACAAAAAAATAAAAAAAGAAGCAAAAATAATTGTAATTTTCTGGCTAATTTGGAAAGTTACAACAGTTGCTGTGTTGTATGAGATCATTTCAAACTACCGTATGTGTGTACATATACACCCAGGAGCGGTTTTGCCCTTACCCCTCACTGTTGATGGAGGAGTTGCGGGACATGGTTTTGGGAGATGTGTCGTAGTCCGAGTCCGAGCGGTACAGGAAGGACTCTCTCCGCTGGCTCTGGGGGAAAGAAGGGTGAAGCACCAACCCAGGACTCGCCTGCGAATCCATGGGACTGCGGCCTGGTGA